CCCGCCCCATTCTCCCTCTTTCCATCACCCCTCCCCGTTCTCCCGCTTCCCATTACCCCTCCCCATTCTCCCTCTTTCCATCACCCCGCCCCATTCTCCCGCTTTCCATCACCCCGTCCCATTCTCCCTCTTTCCATCACCCCGCCCCATTCTCCCGCTTTCCATCACCCCGCTCCATTCTCCCGCTTTCCATCACCCGCCCCATTCTCCCGCTTTCCATCACCCCGCCCCATTCTCCCTCTTTCCATCACCCGCCCCATTCTCCCGCTTTCCATCACCCCGCCCCATTCTCCCTCTTTCCATCACCCCGCCCCATTCTCCCTCTTTCCATCACCCTCCCCGTTCTCCCGCTTTCCATCACCCCGCCCTATTCTCCGTCTTTCCATCACCCCGCCCCAGTCTCCCACTTTCAATCACCCCGCCCCATTCTCCCGCTTTCCATCACCCCGCCCCATTCTCCCCCTTTCCATCATCCCGCCCCATTCTCCCACTCTCCATCACCCCGCCCCATTCTCCCTCTTTCCATCACCCCTCCCCGTTCTCCCGCTTTCCATCACCCCGCCCCATTCTCCCTCTTTCCATCACCCCGCTCCATTCTCCTGCTTTCCATCACCCCGCCCCATTCTCCCTCTTTCCATCACCCCGCTCCATTCTCCTGCTTTCCATCACCCCGCCCCATTCTCCCGCTTTCCATCACCCCGCTCCATTCTCCCGCTTTCCATCACCCGCCCCATTCTCCCGCTTTCCATCACCCCGCCCCATTCTCCCTCTTTCCATCACCCGTCCCATTCTCCCGCTTTCCATCACCCCGCCCCATTCTCCCTCTTTCCATCACCCCGCCCCATTCTCCCTCTTTCCATCACCCCTCCCCGTTCTCCCGCTTTCCATCACCCCGCCCTATTCTCCGTCTTTCCATCACCCCGCCCCTGTCTCCCACTTTCAATCACCCCGCCCCATTCTCCCGCTTTCCATCACCCCGCCCCATTCTCCCCCTTTCCATCACCCCGCCCCATTCTCCCACTTTCCATCACCCCGCCCCATTCTCCCGATTTCCTTCACCCCTCCCCATTGTTTCACTTTCCATCACCCCGCCCCATTCTCCCTCTTTGCATCAGCCCGCCCCATTCTCCCTCTTTCCATCACCCCGCCCCATTCTCCCGCTTTCCATCACCCCGCCCCATTCTCCCGCTTTCCATCACCCCGCCCCATTCTCCCGCTTTCCATCACCCCGCTCCATTCTCCCGCTTTCCATCACCCCGCCCAATTCTCCCTCTTCCCATTACCCCTCCCCATTCTCCCTCTTTCCATCGTCCCGCCCCATTCTCCCGCTTTCCATCACCCCGCCCCATTCTCCCGCTTTCCATCACCCCGCCAAATTCTCCCACTTTCCATCACCCCGCTCCATTCTCCCGCTTTCCATCACCCCGCCCAATTGTCCCTCTTCCCATTACCCCTCCCCATTCTCTCTCTTTCCATCACCTCGCCCCATTCTCCCGCTTTCCATCACCCCGTCCCATTCTCCCTCTTTCCATCACCCCGCCCCATTCTCCCGCTTTCCATCACCCTGCCCCATTCTCCCTCTTTCCATCACCCCGCTCCATTCTCCTGCTTTCCATCACCCCGCCCCATTCTCCCGCTTTCCATCACCCCGCTCCATTCTCCCGCTTTCCATCACCCGCCCCATTCTCCCGCTTTCCATCACCCCGCCCCATTCTCCCTCTTTCCATCACCCCGCCCCATTCTCCCTCTTTCCATCACCCCTCCCTGTTCTCCCGCTTTCCATCACCCCGCCCTATTCTCCGTCTTTCCATCACCCCGCCCCAGTCTCCCACTTTCAATCACCCCGCCCCATTCTCCCGCTTTCCATCACCCCGCCCCATTCTCCCCCTTTCCATCACCCCGCCCCATTCTCCCACTTTCCATCACCCCGCCCCATTCTCCCGATTTCCATCACCCCTCCCCATTGTCCCACTTTCCATCACCCCGCCCCATTCTCCCTCTTTGCATCAGCCCGCCCCATTCTCCCTCTTTCCATCACCCCGCCCCATTCTCCCGCTTTCCATCACCCCGCCCCATTCTCCCGCTTTCCATCACCCCGCCCCATTCTCCCGCTTTCCATCACCCCGCTCCATTCTACCGCTTTCCATCACCCCGCCCAATTCTCCCTCTTCCCATTACCCCTCCCCATTCTCCCTCTTTCCATCACCCCGCCCCATTCTCCGGCTTTCCATCACCCCGCCCCATTCTCCCGCTTTCCATCACCCCGCCCCATTCTCCCTCTTTCCATCACCCCGCCCCATTCACCCTCTTTCCATCACCCCGCCCCATTCTCCCGCCTTCCATCACCCCGCCCCATTCTCCCTCTTTCCATCACCCCGCTCCATTCTCCCGCTTTCCATCACCCCGCCCCATTCTTCCGCTTTCCATCACCCCGCTCCATTCTCCCGCTTTCCATCACCCCGCCCCATTCTCCCGCTTTCCATTTCCCCGCCCCATTCTCCCTCTTTCCATCACCCCGCCCCGTTCTCCCGCTTTCCATCACCACGCCCCATTCTCCCTCTTTCCATCACCTCGCCCCATTCTCCCTCCTTCCATCACCCCGTCCCATTCTCCCGCTTTCCATCACCCCGCTCCATTCTCCCGCTTTCCATCACCCCTGGACTAGTCAAGCTCTTGGATCAGGCATGCTTCTGGACCAAGCAAGCTCCTCGACCGGGCAAGCTCCTGGACCACGCAATCTCTTGTTCCAGGTACGCTCCTCGACTAGGCAAGCTCTTGGACCAGGCAGGCTTCTGGACCAAGCAAGCTCCTGGACTAGGCAAGGTCCTGGACCAGGCACGCTCCTGGACCAGGCAAGCTCCTAGACCAGGCAAGCTACTGGACCAGGAAAGCTCTTGGACCGGGCAAGCTCCTGGACCACGCAAGATTTTAGACCAGGCATGCTCCTAGACCAGGCAAGCTCTTGGACGAGGCAAGCTCCTGGACCAGGCAGGCTCGTGGACCAGGCACGCTCCTGGACCAGGCAAGCTCCTGGACCAGGCAAGCTCCTGGACCAGGCAAGCTCTTGGACCATGCACGCTCCTGGACCAGGCAAGCTCCTAGACCCGGCAAGCTCCTGAACCAGGCAAGCTTCTGGACCAGGCAAGATCCTGGACCAGGCAAGCTCCTAGACCAGGCACGCTCGTGGACCAGGCAAGCTCTTGGACCAGGCAAGCTCCTGGACCATGCAAGCTCTTGGACCTGGCAAGCTCTTGGACCAGGCAAGCTCCCGGACAAGGCAAGCTCCTAGACCAGGCAAGCTCGTGGACCACACACGCACCTTGACCAGGCAAGCTCCTAGACCAGGCAAGCTCCTAGACCAGGCGAGCCCCTAGACCAGGCAAGCTCCTGCACCAGGCAAGCTCCTGGACCAGGCAAGCTCTTGGACCAGGCAAGCTCCTGGGCCAGGCACGCTCGCGGACCAGGCACGCTCTTGGACCAGGCAAGCTCTTGGACCAGGCAAGCTCGTGGACCAGGCACGCTCCTGGACCAGGCAAGCTCCTGGACAAGGCAAGCTCGTGGACCAGGCACGCTCCTTGACCAGGCAAGCTCCTGGACCAGGCAAGCTCTTGGACGAGGAAATCTCGTGGACCAGGCAAGCTCTTGGACCAGGCAAGCTCCTGGACCAAGCAAGCTCCTGGACTAGGCAAGCTCTTGGACCATGCGAGCTCCTGGACCAGGAAAGCTCCTAGACCAGGCATGCTCCTGGACCAGGTAAGCTCTTGAACCTGGAAAGCTCCTGGACGAGGCAAGCTCCTAGATAAGGCAACCTTCTAGACTAGGCAAGCTCTTGGAGCGGGCACGCTCCTGGACCAGGCAAGCTCTTGGACCGGGCAAGCTCCTGGACCAGGCAAGCTTCTGGAACATGCAAGCTCGTGGACCAGGCAAGCTCCTGGACCAGTCAAGCTCTTGGACCACGCATGCTCCTGGACCAGGCGAGCTCCTGGACCAGGCAAGCTCCAGGACCAAGCAAGCTCTTTGACTTAGCAAGCTCTTGGACCAGGCACGCTCCTGGAACGGGCAAGCTCCTTGACCAGGCAAGCTCTTAGACCAGGCAAGCTCTTGGACCAGGCAGGCTCGTAGACTAGGCACGCTCCTGGACCAGGCAAGCTTCTGGACAAGGCAAGCTCCTGGACCAGGCAAGCTCCTGGACCTGGCACGCTCCTGGACCAGGCAAGCTCCTAGACTAGGCAAGCTCCTGGACCAGGCAAGCTCCTAGACCAGGCAAACTCGTGGACGAGGCACGCAACTGGACCAGGCAAGATCCTGGACCAGGTAAGCTCCTAGACCAGGCACGCTCCTGGACCAGGCAAGCTTCTGGACCAGGCAAGCTCCAGGACCACGCAAGCTCTTGGACCAGGCAAGCTCTTAGACCAGGCAAGCTCTTGGACCAGGCAAGCTCCTAGACCAGGCAAGCTCGTGGACCACGCACGCTCCTGGACCAGGCAAGCTCCTGGACCAGGCAAGCTCATGGACCAGGCAAGCTCCTGGACCAGGTAAGCTCCTGGACCAGGCAAGCTCCTGGACCAGGCAAGCTCCTGGACCAGGCAAGCTCATGGACCAGGCAAGCTCCTAGACCAGGCAAGCTCATGGACCAGGCAAGCTCCTCGACTAGGCAAGCTCCTGGATCGGGCAAGCTCCTGGACCACGCAAGCTCGTGGACTAGGCACGCTCGTGCACCAGGCAAGCTTGTGGACCAGGCACGCTCCTAGACCACGCAAGCTCCTGAACCAAGCAAGCTCTTGGACCACGCGAGCTGTTGGACCAGGCACGCTCATGGACCAGGCAAGCTCTTGGACCACGCAAGCTCCTGGGCCAGGCACGCTCCTCGACCAGTCAAGCTCTTGGACCAGGCAGGCTTCTGGACCATGCAAGCTCTTGGACCAGCCAAGCTCGTGGACCACACAAGCTCTAGGACCAGGCACGCTTCTTGACCAAGCAAGCTCCTGGACCAGGCTAGTTCGTGGACCACGCAAGCTCTTGGACCAGGCATGCTCCTCGACCAGTCAAGCTCTTGGACCAGGTAGGCTTCTGGACCAAGCAAGCTCCTGGACCAGGCAAGCTCCTAGACCATGCACGCTCCTGGCCCTTGCAAGCTCCTGGACCAGGCAAGCTCCTCGACCAGGCAAGCTCCTGGACCAGGCAAGCTCCTCGACCAGGAAAGCTCCTGGAACAGGCAAGCTCCTGGGCCAGGCACGCTCGTGGACCAGGCACACTCTTGGACCAGGCAAGCTCTTGGACCAGGCAGGCTCATGGACCAGGCAAGCTCCTGGACAAGGCAAGCTCCTGGACAACGCAAGCTCCTGGACCAGGCACGCTCCTAGACCAGGCAAGCTCCTGGACCAGGCAAGCTCTTGGACCAGGAAATCTCGTGGACCAGGCAAGCTCTTGGATCAGGCAAGCTCCTGGACCAGGCAAGCTCCTGGACTAGGTGAGCTCTTCGACCAGGCAAGCTCTTGGACCAGGCAAGCTCCACGACCAAGCAAGCTCCTAGAACAGGCAAGCTTCTAGACCAGGCAAGCTCTTGGAGCAGGCACGCTCCTAGACCAGGCAAGCTCTTGGACCAGGCAAGCTCCTGGACCAGGCAAGCTTCTGGAACATGCGAGCTCATGGACCAGGCAAGCTCGTTGACCAAGCAAGCTCTTGGACCACGCATGCTCCTGGACCAGGCAAGCTCCTGGACTTGGCAAGCTCTTGGACTAGGCACGCTCCTGGAAGGGGCAAGCTCCTGGACCAGGCAAGCTCTTAGACCAGGCAAGCTCTTGGACCAGGCAGGCTCGTGGACCAGGCACGCTCCTGGACTAGGCAAGCTCCTGGACAAGGCAAGCTCCTGGACCAGGCAAGCTCCTGGACCAGGCACGCTCCTGGAACAGGCAAGCTCCTAGACCAGGCAAGCTGCTAGACTAGGCAAGCTCCTGGACCAGGCAAACTCGTGGACCAGGCACGCTCCTGGACTAGGCAAGACTTTGGACCAAGCATGCTCCTAGACCAGGCAAGCTCCTAGACCATGCAAGCTCCTGGACCAGGCAAGCTCATGGACAAGGCAAGCTCCTGGACCAGGCAAGCTCCTGGATCAGGTAAGCTCCTGGACCAGGCAAGCTCTTGGACCAGGCACGCTCCTGGACCAGGCAAGCTCCTAGACCAGGCAAGCTCCTGGACGAGGTAAGCTTCTGGACCAGGCAAACTCGTGGACCAGGCACGCTCCTGGACCAGGCAAGATCCTGGACCAGGCAAGCTCCTAGACCAGGCGCGCTCCTGGACCAGGCAAGCTCCCCGACCAGGCAAGCTCCTGGACCACGCAAGCTCTTGGACCAGGCAAGCTCTTGGACCAGGCAAGCTCCTGGACAAGGCAAGCTCCTAGACCAGGCAAGCTCGTGGACCAGGCATGCTCTTGGACCAGGCAAGCTCCTGGACTAGGCAAGCTCATGGACGAGGCAAGCTCCTAGACCAAGCAAGCTCCTGGACTAGGCAAGCTCCTAGACCAGGCAAGCTCATGGAGAAGGCAAGCTCCTAGACCAGGCAAACTCGTACACCAGGCACGCTCCTGGACCAGGCAAGATTTTGGACCAGGCATGCTCCTAGACCACGCAAGCTCCTGGACCAGGCAAGCTCTTGGACCATGCACGCTCCTGGACCAGGCAAGCTCCTAGACCAGGCAAGCTCCTGAACCAGGCCAGCTTCTGGACCAGGCAAACTCGTGGACCAGGCACGCTCCTGGACCAGGCAAGATCCTGGACCAGGCAAGCTCCTAGACCAGGCACGCTCCTGGACCAGGCAAGCTCTTGGACTAAGCAAGCTGCTGGACCACGCAAGATCTTGGACCAGGCAAGCTCTTGGACCAGGCAAGCTCCTGGACAAGGCATGCTCCTAGACCAGGCAAGCTCGTGGACCACGCACGCTCCTGGACCAGGCAAGCTCTTGGACTAGGCAAGCTCCTGGACCACGCAAGCTCCTAGACCAGGCAAGCTCTTGGACCAGGCAAGCTCCTAGATCAGGCAAGCTCATGGACAAGGCAAGCTCCTGGACCAGGCAAACTCGTGGACCAGGCACGCTCCAGGACCAGGCAAGATTTTGGACCAGGCATGCTCCTAGACCAGGCAAGCTCCTGGACCAGGCAAGCTCCTGAACCAAGGCTCGTGGACCAGGCAAGCTCCTGGACCAGGCAAGCTCCTAGACCAGGCAAGCTCGTGGACCAGGCACGCTCCTGGACCAGGCAAGCTCTTGGACCAGGCAAGCTCCTGGACCAGGCAAGCTCCTAGACCAGGCAAGCTCCTGGACCAGGCAAGCTCCTGGATCAGGCAAGCTCCTGGACCAGGCAAGCTCCTAGACCAGGCAAGCTCCTGGACCAGGCAAGCTCGTGGACCAGGCACGCTCCTGGACCAGGCAAGCTCCTGGACCAGGCAAGATTTTGGACCAGGCATGCTCCTAGACCAGGCAAGCTCCTGGACCAGGCAAGCTCCTGAACCAAGGCTCGTGGACCAGGCAAGCTCCTGGACCAGGCAAGCTCCTAGACCAGGCAAGATTTTGGACCAGGCATGCTCCTAGACCACGCAAGCTCCTGGACCAGGCAAGCTCTTGGACTAGGCACGATCCTGGACGAGGCAAAATCCTAGACCAGGCAAGCTTCTGGACCAGGCAAGCTTCTGGACCAAGCACGCTCCAGGACCAGGCAAGATCCTGGACCAGGCAAGCTCCTAGACCAGGCACGCTCCTGGACCAGGCAAGCTCCTGGACCAGGAAAGCTCCTAGACCACGCAAGCTCTTGGACCAGGCAAGCTCTTGGACCAGGCAAGCTCCTGGACCAGGCAAGCTCGTGGACCAGGCACGCTCCTGGACCAGGCAAGCTCCAGGACTAGGCAAGCTCCTGGACCAGGCAAGCTCCTAGACCAGGCAAGCTCCTCGACCAGGCAAGCTCCTAGACCAGGCAAGCTCATGGACAAGGCAAGCTCCTGGACCAGGCAAGCTCCTGGACCAGGCAAGCTCCTTGACCAGGCAAGCTCCAGGACCAGGCAGGCTCGTGGACCAGGCACGCACCTGGACCTTGCATGCTCCTAGACCTAGCAAGCTCCTTAACCACGCAAGCTCTTGGACCACGCACGCTCCTAGACCAGGCAAGCTCTTGGACAAGGCAAGCTCCTGGATCAGGCAAGCTCCTCGACCACTCAAGCTCCTTGACCAGGCACGCTCGTGGACCAGGCACGCTCCTCGGCCACGCAAGCTCTTGGATCAGGCACGCTTCTGGACCAAGCA